TGGTCAACAGAAATAGGAGCTGCTTCGAGCTGCGTCTGCGAGGGTGGGGGCCCCGAGCCACCGCCTCCTCCTCCTCTGTCGAGCTGGGGAAGACGCAGGAGTCAGAGGCCTCGTCCGTGGGCCCAAGATGCCCCTCCCCCGGGCATCGGAAAACAGCAGCAACAATGCAGAGCTTTGAGGATGCCCCCCGCCCCCCACGCCGTGCCCAGGAGCCCTGGCCACCCCTGGGCTGCAGCACGGCAGCCAGAGGCTGCCTGCCCCAGACCTCAGAGGGGCTCCCCACAGGGCCCTGGCCGGCCTGGGGCGCCAGCAGAGCCTGAGTGGCCACGGTCCGCCTCGGGGTTGAGACTGCTCCGGGCTGGCCACGGATCCTGCTGCGCACGCAGCCAGCACGGTGTCGCCTTACTTCCCTGACACGCTGTGGCCGGGCAGAACTGCCCAGGCCTGCCTGGCACCCCACCCCACCCCGCCCCCACCCCACCCCCACCCAGGAGGCAGAGGGAGGGTGCGGGGTGAGCTGGCCTTACTGCAGAGGCTGCAAAGATGTGACTGTGGGGGCCGCCACCTGTTACCTCCCTCTGCCAAGTCCCTGGGCGGAGGGAGGCGACCGACGTCAGGGCCTGCCCTGGGCCGGACGCTGCCCAAGCCGGAGCTCCTCTCCACACAGCTCCTCTCCTCGGGCGCAGGGCGGGGTGGGGGGGGGCGATAAGGACGGAAGGGCCCCACCGCGGTGGCGCTTGTTTGGTGCAGACCGGCCCCGGCTCGGAGCCTCGCCCTGACCGCTGCGACTGCTGAAAAATCAACACGCGGGTCCACGCACTTCCCTCAGACACCACCTGGCACCAGGGGGGGCGGGCATTCCACTTCACTCCACGCAGAAAGCAGAGCCTACTCCGGGGAAACCGGGGTCGGTGGCCACAAAGTCACAGGAGACCCAGTCGAGCCTGGGCGGCGGCTGACTCCGTGCCGCCGACGGGCTCCAGGTGGGCGCCCCCCAGCCTCTGCGCCCACTGTCCAGCTCTCCGCAGCCCCCCTCTTCCAGCCTCGTGCAAGGCACCAGGACCCCGGAGCTGTCGGCCACCCTGGAGCCCGGAAAGTCCCCAACGGCGAGGGGGCCCCTGTTGAGCTGGGAGCGGACGGACCCCTGAGCCCCAGCCCGGGAGAGGCCCGCACAAGACACAGCGAGTCCCGGGCCCAGGAGACTCGCCCTCTCAAGGCCAAAAGGGCAGACTGCGTGTCGAGAGCGCCCCAGGCTCGTTAAATGTCTTCCCGCCTAGAGTAAACGAGCAACAGGGGGCAGCTGAGGGTGGGCCCCGAGTGGCTGGCTCAGGTACATGACTGGCGTGGGGCCCTCGGGGCAGAGCCACCCGCACATGTGCTTCCAAACAGGCTGCCCGAGAACAGGGGGCCGTGGGGGGACCGTTCAGGGAGGTCCTGCCCCGAGGCTGGCCTGTGCCTGGGAGGAGGGGTCTGTTGCACCCCGCTGTGGACGGACGGCCCCTGGGTGCCGGGAAGGACAGCCCTTGTCTGGATCCGCCAGGACGGACGACAAGGGGACCGGACGCAGCCCCGGCCCCCAGGGAAGATGAGGCCTGTCACCGGGAGACGGCGGGGGGGGGCGACGGGCTGGGACCCAGAGCTCTGCAGGATTCGACCACGAGGGCGGGATGTCCCCAGTAGGATGAGGGGGACAGTCGGGCACTTAGGCCCGGCCTCTGCAACGCCCTGCTGGGCAGCAGCCTTGGGCAAGGGGTCAGCCGTCTCACCCGAACGAGCCCCTCAAAGCACCCTCTGGGTCTCCGGGACCCTCTGGGGCCACGAGGACCTGCCATCGAAGGGCACGGTGCCCTGATGGGGGAAGAACCCTCGCCTTCGCCTGGCCCGTTCGGGGCCCGCAGTCACAGAGGGAGGGCGAGGGGTCGGGGGAGCGGCAGCCTCCCAGCCTCGCGCCGGAAGCCTCCGCCAGCGGGCCCCACAGGTCGGACCCGCCAGGAACAGGGCAGGCCGAGAACGCCCAGAAGGCCTCCACCTGCCAGCCAGGTGAGGCCGCGCCCCGGTGGGGCTGCAAGTCCAAGCCCAGCAGGTATGAAAGGGAAGCTTTGTGCGGCCCCGTCCAGGACGTGTTTGCCGACCGTCTGCCCGGAGCCGCTCCCTGCTCCCTGCTCCCATGAGGCTGCCAGAGGGGACCCCGCCCCGGAGCAAAGCCCGAGGCCCTTCCTGCGACGAGGCTGGGGCTTCCCAAGCTCAGGCCACCCTACGACCTCCCCCGACACCGACTTATGACAAAAGCAGGATGAAGGGAGGGGCGGTCACAGGTGGGTCTCACAGCCAGGGGCGAGCGAGCTCACGCCCTACACTCCCCAGCAGCGCTGCAGGCCCGGACACACAGTCCGGCCTGCGCCTGTGTGTGAGCACCCGTGTGCGAGCACCCGTGTGCAAGCACCCGTGCAAGCACCCAGCAGCCGCCGGCCCGAGGCTGCATCCTGCAGCAGGGCCCCCGTGAGGCCCTGTTGCCCCCTCTCGCCTCCTTCCCTCTCGAGCACCAGAAGCCGGCAGGACCCCAGCAGATCCGCACCGCACAGTAAGAACAGAGCTCACACCCGGACACAGCCCCTGTCCCCACCCAGTTCACCCCTGGTGCTGCTGGGGGACGTGCTGGCCCTCGAACCTAGTGCTTCTCGCTCACACAGACGGCCAGAGGGGTGGCGGGCTCTGGAGGTGGGAGGGGCAGCCCTGGACGGAGCTGGGTGCTGGGGGGGACGGGGCCGCAGGGAAGGGCCGCAAGCCACGTCCCAGGGCGCTGGCTGACTTCCGAGGCTGTTCACTGGCCTGAGCCGGCCACGCACCTGCAGAGGGCACTGCGCAGGGTGCCGCCGGGCCTCTGTGGATTTCCAGTGCCACGGAGGCCACGGAGCATACAGCTCCTACGACTGTCCCGCTGGGCCCTGACCCAGCCGAGGTGTGTTCTGTGCGCCAAGAGTGCCCTCTGCTGGGAGGACCGGGTGGTGCAGGGCCCCCCCTGCCCCACAGGAAAGCACTGAGCCCTGATGAGAGCCAGAGGCAAGCGAGAACTTTCTAGTAGCCAGGGTCACAAAAATACAAATAAGCGTAAAACATCAGCATTTGCCATCAGTATGAAAAGATGAATGCCCACTTTCACATTCCTTTCCTCCCGCTCAGTGGGGAATCCCGTGTGCATGGTGACTTCCAGCACAGGTGAGGCCGGACCACCCACGCTGCGGGTGCTGGGCAGCCACCTGCAGCTCCCGGCTCCCGGCTCCCGGCTGGGGCGGCTTGGCTGCAGGGAGGTCCCCGCCGGCTTGCACACCCACAGAGCCCAGTCTCCTCTCCTGCCGCGTGGCCTCCCTGTGGGTGGCTCATTCCCTCTCTTAACTGGGCTGAGGCTCTCCTCCCTCCACCCTGCAGGGCGGCGACAGCAGATTCCTGCCCTTACACGCAGACCACTCAGAAGGTCTGAGATTTTTCAAGGCCGTAAAGAGAAGACAGGCACCCTGGCCGGTGTGGCTCACTGGACTGAGCACGGGCCTGCAAACCAAAGGGTCGCTGGTTCGATTCCCAGTCAGGGCACATGCCTGGGTTGCACGGGCCGGGTCCCCAGTGCAGGCCACGTGAGAGGCAACCACACACTGATGTTTCTCTCCCTCTCTTAAAAAACTAAGACAGGCTAAGCCCTTTCCTCCCCACACTGGGCCAGGCGGCTGCACCTGGAGGGAACGAGAGAGACATCACCACCGTCACCCCCCACTGGCCGAGCGCTTGCTGGGTGCCAGACGTGACACTAGGTCCTGCGGCATTTGAAATGAGGAGGAAAGGCCACGGAGCAATGCCACAAAACACAGGTCCAGAAAATACCAGGTTAGGAAATAACACAATCCCAGTTTCGCCAAGAGAAAAAGACATGTACTAGCCACGTCACCCACACGGAGAAGGCAGCCTGGAGGACTCTGGCCAGCGGTCGGTGGGTTTCTCTGTCCGGGAACTGGGGTCGCTGGAGCTCGGAGAGGCGCTGACCCTGGCTGGTGGCACACGGTGGGACACAGCTTCCCACCTGTCCCCCTGCACGTCCGCGGGCATCCCGACTGCGTGTGTGAACCTTCTTCCGAGGCCCAGTGACCTTGAAGCACGCTGGGGGCCTGGGCAAGGTCGGTACGTTCTCAGGCTGTCGGTGGGCGGCTCGGGCTGGCCAGAAAGACCCCACTGAGGCCACACCTCGCTGGGACAGACAGCCTGTTTTCACGCCCAAGAACCCGGCAGAGTTTCTGTGCAAAACACCCTGCAGCCTGAGCCACCCCCCGCTCGGTTTCCAGTACGGAGGCGGCCGTCCTGTGCTCATCGTCAGCCATGCTCACGGGCAGGTGCCAGTGGCTGGCCCGGCTCCTGCCGGCACAGCTGACACCAGGACCGCCCCGGGCCAGGCAGCATCAGGCCACAGAGCGTCACCCAGAGGCTCTGGAGACGGAGGTTCGGTTCCAAAGTGCCCCAACCCATCCCCGACCTGGGGTCTGCTGCCTCTGGGTTCTGTCTCGTGTGTAGTGACGAAGGCAGAGCGGCAGCAGAGGGAGGGATGTGCCCGGGCGGGGGGGGGATGGAGTGCCCACAAGCCCTAGCTGGTGCCATGGGGCCAAGGACGGGAGGGTCACGGACCACAGTCAGCCCAACCTGCTACGGGCAGCAGCTGGGACGGCCGGAGCCTTTGCCTTCTCCTCTCCACGTGGCCCGCCTCCGCAGACCCATCCAGAACCTCGGGCCAGACACCCAGAGCTGCTCTGCGCCCCCACTGCCTGGACCAGGAGGGCCGCCGGGCCGCCCCCAGGGCACAGTCACGGACGAGTCAGCGGGTGCCGACCCACCGCTCTTCCACGGGGGAAGAACGGCCCCCTTCATTCTGGACAACCGGACAGAATGAGAACACGGCCGCCCCGGGAACCCACGGAGGGCGGCGGGCGGCGGCCGGCAAGCCGGCCACGCGAAGCACGTACCTGAACTTCCCGGTCCGCACCTGCAGGGCCCTCATCCCGCACCGCTGGGCACCGCCGACGTCACCCACGATGTCGTCTCCGATCATGACGGCCTGTCACACGGGGAAATGCACTCAGACGTCCTGTCCCGTCCCGCCGCCCCTTCGTCCTTGTTGACATAACGAGCTGCTTGGTTTGATGTGTACCCTCCCCACCGTACGAGTGACACGAGGCAGACTCATCGTCCTGCCGATTAAAAGTTAACCCACCTGGAGCGCCCCTCCCACCGCCCCCCTGGGCCGTGGCTCCGGGTGGTGCAGGTGGCTCTGGGCAGTTTGGAGCCTGCGGGCAGGCGTCAGAGTGACACTGTGTCCTGGGGGAACGTGGGGTCAGCCCTGCCTCGCCCCCACTCCCACGTGGGCCGAGTTCTGTCCGCGGCGAAGCACTCTGGGGCCAGGTTACCCCGTCAACCCTCGGTTCTGTGAAAACTTAGCAAGTCCCTGCCAGATCCTTGAAGGTCACAGTTTTAAAAAGTTTTGCTTCCCACAGTGAAGGTTCTACCTCTAAAAAACAGAACAAGAGACGCAAGCGTGCAGGCACATGCAGGGGCAACGCTCGCAGCCCGAATCCTGCTCACAAGCAGCCCGAGGGAGCGTGCTCCCCCCCGAGGCAACTAGAAAGTCAGACGGACTACAGACCGCAACCGCTTTCCAGACACCGGACGAGGGACAACGGGCGAGCCTCCACCTGCAGCTGTGAAATGGGTATAATCGGTGTGATGTTTAAGTGCAGTCACAGGTGCTAAGCATCAAGTCAGTAACTGGGCATCGTGAGCCGTCTACCGATGTTCAACGGGGAAAAGAAGGAAACATTTTATCGGGGAAACCGCTACTAACTTGGCCCCACTGCAGACAGGTCACAGTCTTTTCGGTGATGGCACCCTGCCTCCAGTGACCCTGCACCTTTATACCAAGCCCTTTGTGGGCCAGGCAGTGGGGACAGAGCGGGTCAGACATGCAGTCCCTGTCCTTGGGAAGCTGCTGGCCGAATGCAGGAGACAGACGGTTCGTCAGCTAAGTTCTCAGACACCCAGTCAGGGCCTGTAATAAAGCGCAGGGAGGAAAACGCAGGAGGCTATGAGGCCTGTCCTTGTGGGCGAGGTGGTAGTCAGGGCAGGCTTCCTGGAGGAAGTGAGGTTTTTGCACTTTGATCCTAAGGGCAAGAGGGGTCAATCAGGTTGAGAGTGTAGGGGGGTGGATGAGAGTGTTATTCCCAGCAGGGGACACCACATGCGCGCTAACTGCCCATCTGTCGCCATTCACCAGGGCAGGCACACGGTGAGTTCCAGAAGCACAGGCTAATAAGCCTGAGCAGTTGTCCTTGGAGACATCCCGTGAACAGGCCTTTAAATAAGAGGGAATCGCGAGCAGCTGTGGAGGAGGATCAAGACGGAGCCGGTGCTGCACAGACGGAGGCAGGTAGTTCCAGGCAAACACGAGCCTTTTCCAACAGTCGGCAGAGACTGCAAACCCCTGTGCCTTAGTCCTGTTCCAGCCGAGGCCGGGGGGGGCTTCCATGGGAGAAGTCACCGGCGCGCCGGCCCCAGAGGGAGCTCGGAGGAGGTGGCCAGTGACCGCCAGCGCTGAGAGTTCTGCCCACTGCCGGTAGCCACAGCCCACCGTGAGACCCGTGAGAGCGCAGAAACCAGCTGCCTTCTTCCCAGTGAATCTTCTCAACTTCAGATATTTCGGTATATTTTTTCTAGCCTTTTCCACATAATTCCATGTTTCCAAAGTGAGCTGTGCATCCTGGTGACGTACTATTTATGACAGTTTTACTCAGGACAAGGACTGATATGTTTTTACTGGGATTGCTCTGTATTTTTTCTGGAGCCACCTGCATACGTTAAATGCGCGATTCCACTGTTCCAGGTACAGCAGTGACCGAAAGCTCCTTACGAAGTGTGTGACTGAAGCCTGGAAAGGAATCAGTGTAAAGAAACGTGAAGCAAACCACAGAGCCAGGGGCCAGCACCCACACACGGCAAAGGCAGTATTTTTCTGATCCAGAAAGACTGGTGTTGGGGAAAAGGCTGCCAAACCCACCTAGGCTGGGTTTTTGTGTCCGTGTGTCCCCACCCAGCCACGGGGGAGCCACCAGTCACCGGAGAGGAAACCGCTGGGGGCAACGTGCACTCCCCGATGAGGGACTGGCAGCAGAGCCTGCAGCGGAGCCCACGGTGCCCACAGGTGACTCTAAGGTGCCTGCAAAGCCAGGGCCACCGGGGCAACCGCCTGGCTCGCCTGGGAGGAGAGGGCTGGAGTGGGCAAGGGCCTGGCCCAGGTGGCCGGGCCGGCAGTAAGCCCCGGCGTGAGGTTCTATGTTGCCCTTCTCCAGGGGTTGTTGTCCTGAAACCGTTAGGTCGGCTGCTGGGCAGTCGCCATGCTCTGACTTAGCCCCCTGTTCACGGCTCCCGGAGGCTCCCGGGGCATTGTGCTAGAAGGTTCCTTAGGGAATGAGGGTTCCAACGGCCACACGTCCTGCCCGGCACCCTCCATGCTTCTGGGGAAAGTCCAGTTTTGCGCATGCTCACTTGTGCCTGCGCGCACGCCCCCAGGGCAGGAGAAATTCTTCCCCTCAGAACAGACTCCGGGCCTCCTGGGTGAGGACTCGTGAGGCTGTGGCCCGTGCAGCTGGCGCCGGATTTGTGGACGCCTGAAGGGCGGATCTCAGAGGAGCAGCGGCTGTGATCCTGCCCCACAATCATCGGGTGCCCAGGCCCAGGCCCCGGCCGTGCCGGCAGCCCGAGTGCGACCGGAGGGGCGCGGGGTGCGGGGGCTCCAGGGGCACGGCCACCGGGGCAGCGAGGCCTGTCCGGGCCAGCGTGCGGGCTCTGCATACCAGAATGCACTCGGGCCCTGGGGACTTCACAGAATTTACTGTCGGTGAAGGGCAATAATCACGCCAGGAGGAGCAATTATTGCCAAATCATTTAGGATTTAAAAAATCATTGGCGAGAAGATAGAGGTCAAGAGGTGCGCTGTCGGGGGAAATGAGGAAGAGAAACCCCACCTGTTAGGCCTGGGCTGCACTTCCCCGCTGGCTGCGGGCTGGTGCGAGGAGCACCGGGCCTGCCACCCGCCTGCCTGCCTGCCTGCCTGCCTGCCTGCCTGCCACAGTGTCCTCTGTGCCGTCCTAGGGGCCCAGCAGGGGGCGCCCATCCTAACAGGGGATGCCTGTGAGCGCTAAGGAGCTCTCCCCAGAAAGCCCGAGGTTCACAACATCCCAGTTTTCCCGGGAGCTCCTCCCCGCCCCCCTGCCCCCGAGGCAGCAAGCAGCAGGGCTGGCGGGGACCCCAGCAGTGCGGTCTCTGTGTCAGCCCCAGGGTCACACGCCCACAGGGAGGAGCCTCCAGGTGACATCTAGCATGAGCCCAGGGTGAGACCGTGAGGAACCCGGGCCCCCATTCCCCCCACTCCTGACACCCGGAGATGGCTCAGCGCTAAGTCATTACCCCCGCAGTCGGCCACATTTGTAAGGGACAGTATCAATACACAAACAGACTACAGTTTCATAAAAAGTAAGAAGCAATGGTGCTCCCTGGCTGGTGTGGCTCAGTGGATTAAACACCCGCCTGCGAACCAAAGGGTCACCGGTTCGATTCCCAGTCAGGGCTCATGCCTGGGTTGCAGACCAGGTCCCCAATAGGGGGCAAGTGAGAAGCAACCACACATTGATGTTTCTCCCTCTCTTTCTCCCTCCTTTCCCTTCTCTCTAAAAAATAAATAAATAAAATCTTTAAGAAAAAAAAAAGAAATCACGGGGAAGGCCCCTTCCGATGCCACCGTGAAGGCTCCCGCAGGTCCCAGGTGAGTTACTATGGTCCCTGCCCTGGTGGAGATAAGGCAGTAGCTACACGGGTCGAAACACCTCCAGTGTGTTTACGTCCAGTTTTTACAACAATGCCTGTACTTTTAAATCTCCTTTGCCGCTTCGGGAGGACGTTGGAGAATCACATCATTATTGCGAACATTCATGAACACGGGAAAGAAGCAGGCAATTATCTGGTCTCCTGCAGGCACTGTGCCCCGGGGTAGCAAAGAGTTGGTGGGAAGCTTTCCCGTAGAGAAGGAGCCGGGGGTGGGGGGGGGGGGATGAGGGAGGAAGGACAGACTTCAGAGGTCACCACCACTCCGCAGCCCTGAGGGCAGCAGGCACGGAGTCGGGGGCCCGTCCTCCACAGCCGCCAACCCCGCAGAAAGGGACAACCGGACACTCTGCGCCACCTAGAGAGTGCCCGTCAGCGAGCCGCTGGCCCCGGGCCCAGCCCCCAGGCCCCGCCACCAACCCGCAGAGTCCAGCGGGCAGAGGCGCACGTGAAAGGGTCCTCGAGGTGCAGCCGACGCACCCGGACGGCGCCCACGGCCGGCCTGCCGCCCCAAGCCTTCCTCGCGGCAGGACCAGGCCACAACGGGGGCGGGGTGGGGGGAGGGGGTTTGATGATACCAAGGAGTTCCTGTTAGTATCATTCGGGTGGGAGAGGGGCAGTATTTATGTTGTGAAAAAGAATCCCTGCCTTTTAGAGACCCAGCAATAGGTACGGATGAAGGGACTCGATTTCTGGGACTTGACTGCAAACAGTCCAGGGGGGTTGGGGGGTGCAGATGAAAGACTCGGGGGTTCCTCTTGAGCCGGGGGGGGGGGCTGACGCCGAAGACGGGACACGCTGAGCGAGAAGATGCATGACACCAGAAACGGACTGTGACTCCCGAAAGCACACACACGCTCCGAGTGCACGCTGGAACGAACCGGCGAAGGAGGAGACAGGAACACTCTCCCTCGCGGTGCGCTCCCGTGTGTGGGCGCGGACGGAGTGACGGAAAGGGAACCCCGCCGTCCCTCCGGCGGCAGCTCCGGGGGGACTGTTTCCGGGAGAACGATCGACGGAGGCGAAAATTAGGAGGAAGAGGAAGAGGAAGAGGAAGAGAGTTACCAGGGACTGTCCCACAAGATACGTACTCGTTACCCAGGGACAAGTCGCAACTTGGCAGTGGAGAACCCTGGCTGACGCCCCAGGGAGACATCGCCAGCGACGGGCACGGAGCGTCACCTGCCTCCCCAGGGGACGCGCCCCCAGGGCACAGCGTGGCTTCCGTGAGATTCCGCCCCGAACGCATCGCATCAGGAAAAACCAAACGGAGGGGCGTTCCACAGAACCCCTGGCCAGCACTCCTCAAAAATGCCACGGTCCTGAGCGACAAAGGAAGACTGAGGGCCTGCCCCAGAGCGGAGGACGCTCGGGGACACCAACAGGACAAAAGCCCCTTTCTCAGGCCGCCTTGGCCGGCGCCGGCCGGGCCCCACGAAGCACGACTGACCCGAACTGTTTCATGGGCCTCCGTCCTCAGGACTGGAATCGACCGGCAGCAGAGGCTCCGGAACTTCCGACACAGACCGTAACGGACCACAGCGAGGGACCGGACCCCGCAGCGCGCCAGAGGTGACGCGGAGACAAGCGGCAGCCTGCACGAGGCCGACGCAACACCCCGCTGGACACCCGCGCGATCGCCGAGTGAGAGCTCGGAGCCCCGCCCTCCCCCCCGCCCCCCGGGGCTGGGGTGCTGCTCCGCACCGGGCCCTTCCCCTCCCTGGGAAAGTACACAGAAGAACCCGGCGCCTCCTTCTCTTTGGGAGCCTCTGGCAGCCCGCGCCACCGACCCCCCAACCGACAGGACCACGCACGGCGCGTGGCCCGAGCGAGGTGCCGGTGGGACGCTCTCCGGGTGGTCGATGAACACGAGACCCTTCGTTCACCTGCAGACCCACCCCCTGCGGAGACGGTCTCGTGCCGGCGCCCTCTGGCTGTGCTCCGTGACCGTTCCGGCCAACCGCAGCGCGGGCGGAGTTGCTCTGAGGGCGTATGGAGGGGGGAGTCCTTTGTGACGGTGCTGGCGACTTCTCTATGCATGTGACATTACGTCAAAACAGACAGTTACAAGCCGCTTTTGTAAGTGGTCTCTTGGTTGGCAACTGCTGGAGCCCGTGATGGGCCCACGGGGGCTCGCGACACCCTTCTCTCTGCTCGCACAGTAGCTGCCGGGTTTCACAGCAAACGGTTCGACAGGGAGCGGCGCGCGGGGACACGACAGCCGCGTGCAGGGACGGCACAGAGCTTGTCTGGATTTGACTCACACTCTCCAACGTCGAGGAACACATCCGAGACGGGGACATTAAATACGGACGGTACGACTTAACGAATAAGGGCGGGCATTAGCTCACACTGAGGAGTCACTGCTGACCTTGGGAGGGGGGTGGTCAGACACACGCCGGATCGGCCGGTGTCACCAGTTTAAAGGATCAGACCCGTGGCAGTAAGTGCGTTCACTCCGCAGCGCGGTGCCGCCATCGTCACCATCCGGTCCCAGGCGTTGTCCTCGCCCCAGAGGACCCCTCGTGCCCGTCACGCAGCCCCTCCCCGCCCCCTGCTCCGCCACCGCTAGTCCGTCCGACGTCCACAGGGAGGTGCCCATTCTGGGGTCTTCCGGGCTCTTCCGAGCTTCCTGTAAACACGTGAGAGGCGGCCCGTGTGACCGGCTCCCCGCACGCTCCGTGTCTTCCACCCGCGTCAGAGCCCGGGCCGGCATCTCCTTCCTCCGGCTGGCACTCGCCGCTGTGCAAATACGCCGCGTTTTCCTTCTCCGCCCGCTCGTTGGCAGACACTTGCTCTGCTTCTGTCTTCGGGCTGTCGTGGCCGATGCTGCTGCGGATGTCAGGTGTGCGTTTCCATTTGCACACCCGTTGTGGATCCTTTCGGAGGTGCGCCCGGGAGTGGGCCGGCTGGGCTGTGCGGTGCGACTTGTGCAGACACCGCCGTCCCGGGGGCCGCCCCGCGGCGCATCCCTGCGAGCGTTCCCTCCTGCGCGAGGGCCCCACGCTCTCCGCGGCCTCGCCGAATGCTGGTCATTCCCCGGATTTTGGGGGGTTGCTCCTTCACGGGTACGGCCCTCTGCGCGGGTGCCGGGGGGAACCTCGTCGTGGCTCTCACCTGCGTTCCCCCAGGGACCCACGGGGCTGAGCATCGCCTGTGTGCTTCCGGGCCCTTGCCAGGTGTTTTAAAGCGTCGCAAGGCTGTGTCTAAGATAACTTTCTTTTTTGAACGGCACACGACAATAAGAAAGGATACAATAATAGTAAGTCTGCTTTACAATGCAGGAGTTAAAAAAACAGGTGAAGAAAATTGTACTGCAACAATAATTTAAATAAAATTAAATAAATCTAAAAAAAGTAAATGAAAAAAAAACAGGTGAATTCTTTACAAGAAAGGAAAAGGGGTGCTGGCTGGTGGGCCCCGTTGGTTGGAGCGCCGCCCCGCACATCGGAAGGCTGCCGCTTCCACCCCCTGTTGGGGGGTGGGGGCAGACGGGGACACCCGATGGAGGTTCTCTCCACCCCACCCCCAAAGTCAATAAACCTGCTGAATAATGAAGGAGAAGAAAGAAAGGGGGTCGAAGAAGGACTGTGGCAACATCTTGTAGTCGAGGGATCTGGGTGATGAAGAGACATTGGGGGACTCGCTGTGCCACTCTCTCTGCTTTCGTGTGTGTTGGTGTCGTAATCTGTCACACGGTAAGGAGAAAGTCTGCCCTACCTACGAAGCCACGTCATGAAGACACAGTTTATTCACGCCTGCAGTCTTCATCCATCACACACAACCCCGCTGTCTCGGCCAGCCCCACAGGGCGTTTCCGGGGTGTCTCCCGGGGACCCCGAGCCCTGTGTCTCCTGCCGTCTGTGAGCAGCTGGGGGGGGCGGTGAGCACAGGGGCTCCAGACTTCGGTGGCCGTGGCCACCTTCCTCTAGGCACGGAGAGAGACCAGTGCCCAGGACCGGAACCCCCACAGCAAATTCAGGTCCAGCAGCTAGGAGGCCACGGCGGCCGTGCGGCACCGGCCTCGCCACACTGTACCCTGGGGGCAGCCCAAAACAGGCGGCAGGGCTGCCCAGGGCCCGGTTTCCCCAGCAACGCTTCCGGGAAACCTCCAGCTGCAGGGGACCTGGGCAGAGGGGACACTGAAATCAGAACTGCTTTTTGTCTTTTTAAGATGTATGTTCAGAACCCAATGTGTCTCAAAATGGTCATCGTGTAAAGGTGGCAAGAAGCGAGGTTTTATTTCATGCATCTTTTCAATCTTGCTGTGGGCTGTCTTCCCAAACAAAATATTTCCTCTGCACTGAAAGGACTTTTCGGTTCTTAACCTCTGAGAGAAGCAGCCGAGGTCGCTCAGAAAAGCTGTCACAGGCACCTCTGTGTCCCACCCTTAGGCTGAAACTCGTGTAACAGGTTAAATCACTCAGTGGGCCTCCTACCCCGTCTTTTCCCCCCTTTCCAGCCGAACCAGGTCTCGCGGCCGCCTGGCTGACAAGGCTGCCGGAGCCCCCCAGGCCCCCAGCCACGCCGCTGCCACCGTGTGAGCTCCTTGAGGGCGACCTACCTGGCGGGCCTCCACCCCCATCTCCCGCAGGGCAGACTTGAAAAACTCGGGAGACGGCTTCCCCACCACCTCAGCTTGGACTCCGCAGGCGTACTGGAGGAGAGAGGGACACAGCGTGGGTTGGGGACAAGGCAGTGCAGCGCCGACCTGCAGGGAGGGGCTCCCGCGGGAGGGACCCAAGTGTGCGCCCGTGGACCAGGGGCTCCCAGGGGCTCCCAGGGGCAGGGGACACAGGGGCGGGGGACACACCCGACAGGCGAGCGTGGGGATGCCACATCGGGCTGCCCGGGAGGCTCGGGCCCCGCCCCCCGGCACCCCGCCCTCTGCTCAGACACCCACTGGTGGTGGGAGGTGCCCGGCCCACAGCTGGAGAAGTCGCAAGGCATCCTGCTGGCCACCCTGACCGGTGTTCTCACTTGTATTCTTGTTCCTCCGGCTCCCTTCTCCGCCCCACCCTGGCCAGCTCTGTCACGGCCCCTCCAGGGGGGACAAGGCTTGGGCAGCTGCACTTCCTACCCCTCCACCCCTCTCGCCCAAGGGCAGGGAGGCCGGAGCTGATGGAACAGGGAGAGTGGCAGGCGACAGGTGCTGGCCTGGGGCAGGAGCCTAGGCCAGGACCACTGAGCAGGCGAGGGTCAGGGGAGCACCAGAGAGCCGCATCTGGGCCTGGCCTTCCAAGTGCGGGCCGGGGTGGGGGGAGTCCGGAAGGAGTCCCGTCGGACTCGGCGAGCTCAAGGTGCTGCCGGGGAGCAGGGCCAGAAGGAGGCGGACGGCCACACAGACACGGCAGCCGGAGTCCACCAGGGGGGTGGCAGAGGGCACGCTGGGGCGGCCCGCTCAGGTCATCACAGGGGGTTTGGAGGAAAGGGGGGGACTGGAGGACAGAGTGGCCACAGCCACCAGGAGGGTCAAGCTCCAGGGCAGAGCGGTCGCTCAGCATGCAGCCCCAAACTCGAGGGCCTACTCTGACAGCGTGAAAAGCAACTCAAACAGGGAGCACACCCGCTCCTCTGCAAAGACCAGAAACGCCCCAGGCAGCCTGAGGGCTCGGGCGGACGGACCCAGGGCCGGTACCTCGAGTGCCTTCGTGTAGCCGCCGACGTCCAGCATCAGGCCGGAGGTGACCTTGTAGTAGCGTCTGAAACGAGACGAGGTAGGGGGGGCAAGGTGAGCTGGGGGCAGGCGCCGGGCCGGGCCGGGCTGGGGAAACTGCCCCGCCCTGTGCCGGAAGGCCGCTGGGTCGGGGCGTGGGTTGGTCCAGGCGCCACGCCGAGATGGGCCGCCACGCCCGGGCTGGACGCACGGTGGGCCAGCAGCCTGCAGTCAGAACGGCCCCCTGCTGCAGCTCCGTGGGGACTCTGCCACAGAGATTAACGGGGGACCCGAGGGGCGGACGCACGCAGGTGCTAACACAGAGAAAGATGAGAGACCACGGAACCCCCAACCGCTAACCATGAACCCCTAATGGCTGCTGAAGAAGAAAACTCCATCGGCTGCGTGGCGCCCTGCCGCACGGCCTGTTAGCCAGAGGCCGAGAGACATGCCAGGCCCCGCGGGCGCCAGACGCTCTCACGAGAAGACAACCCTGCCTCCCGTCTCACTGGGGACGGGACGGCTGGGCTCTCGGGAGAGCCACTCCCGGTCACCCCCCGCCCCCGCCCACGCCCTTCAAGTCTGGGAGACGTTAAGCCACGTGTGCACGCAGGGCCGACGTGGAGAAGAACAGGGCGTTCTGGCTCCAGAGGTCAGGGCCTCTGTCCACGTCTCTCTCACTGAGGTGCTCAAGCCGTCTGGGCCTCAGTTTCCTAGTCTGTAAAACGGGCCTGAAAACCCCAGGACCTCCTTCATGGATTGGACTGAGGCTTGAACAAGATAACGCATGCCAAGTCCTTAACGTATGCCCAGCACGTGGAAACTGCTCAGAAAACAAAATTAAGAGAATGTTACTGCAAACAACTGTTCGCCCAGACTGAGAACGAGGAATAGGCACGCAGACAGGAGCTGGGGAGGGGGGGAGGACAGGGGTCTCTCCAGCCTGTGGGCCTGGAGGCTGTTCTGCGCCCATCTGCGGGGAGGGAGCTGAGCGAGCTCCCAGGAGCTGCCCCAGGGCCGGGCCCCGCCTCCAGCTCCGCTGCGCCCGGGACTCGACCAGTCCCTCTCTGCCCTGCCGGCCAGCACCTGCGCACCCGGCACTCAGGAGGACGAGTGCTCTCCGCGCTGGGTCTGGGTCGTCTGCACCAGCACCTTGTGGGCTGGCAGCAGGCGGGGCTGCAGGCTTCACCCAAGCCCTTGGCCTTGACAGGGGCCGGTTCCCTGCCACTCACCCCTGCCGGGTGGACCCGGAGCCTGCGGCCCATGTGTGGACGCCGTGGGGGCGTCTCCTGGCCTCAACCCCGGGCCTCCTCCCCAGGGTCCGAGGCCCTGTGCCCTCCGGGGCCCTGCACAGGGACCCGGGCCGGCTGGGACACTGCACGTGCTGAGGAGGGTGCCTGCTATGCAGACGGCACCACCACCCGCTTAGAGCCGGGACCTGCAGGTGCTCCCCCTTTTCAAGGGTGACCCCCAGACACAGGCTATGAGGCTGGTAACGGCCTTCATCTCACACCTGGGATGCAGACAAGCATTCTGCGTTCATGCAGTCCTTTCCCACGTTTCTTTCATTTTTCCCACTTCCACGATAAACACGTTGGAGGGGCGGTTTCCTTGGCTCGGCCCCGAGTTGTGAGGCGGAGCAGAGCACAGCAAAGCGTGGCCGAGGGGGAGGGGGAGACGCCGGTGTGCTGGGTGGGGCCTGTGATCACGGGCGCTGTGGCTGGCTCTGTCAATCAGCTCCCTGGACACGGAGGACACGGCCCCCCACAGCCCTCTGCGGGACTCGGGGGCCCGCCCAGACCCAGGCCCCCCCTCCCGGGACGCCCGGTCTGGTGGGGACGCAGGCAGGTCTGCAGGCTTGTATGAAAGGGCAGGGCAGGGGCGACGGCAGGGGAACCGTGTGCTCTGCGGTCGCTGCTGGACTGGCCGGGCAGCCTGGGGACAGGGAGACAGGAGGGCGTCCCAGAGAAGAAGGACACATCGCAGCCGAGACCTGAAACTGAGGGAGGGGATGGGATGGGATGGGATGGGAGGGTCCAGGCCCGGGAGCCTCCCAAATGGACTGATGGCCCCCCACGGAGGATGGGCGGCTGGGGGGTGGCGGGAGCAGACCCTGCTCTAGGCACAGCCTGTGTCAGGCGCCCCAGGGCCCCTCCCCCCCTCTGCCTGGTGGCCATTGCAGGAAGGGAAGAGGGGGCAGTGGCTAACCCAGAAGCCATAGAAAAAGTCACCAGACCACACCACCCGGCTGCAACAGGCGCAGCTCTGTCTGGAGCTGAGGATTCTGGGGGCCTCTGGCCCAGCGCCCGGGCCTGGCTGGAGAGCGCAGGAGCCGGGGGCACCTCCCCCTCGGGGAAGCCTGCCCGGGACAGCCATGCAGCGCAACTTGTGCCTGTCTCCTGTGCCCGCGTGACTCTCCTCCAAAGGGACAGAACTTTGGACTCTCTTACGTTTAAACTGAGTCCTCAGGGGAGGAGGAAACGGAAAGTGCAGCTTAAAATAGTCAATTAAAACCTTGTCTTTTACACTTGAAACTAATACAAAACAGTATTGAATGGAAACTGTAATGAAAAAATGAAATTAAAAAAGCCCTTGTCTTTGTGATATGAAGTTTTAGAGTCTAAAGAAAAAAAACCTGGCTTCCGAAATAAAAATTAGAAACCTTAATATTTCTTTTCTAACTGAATCTGGGCTTATCGTTATAGTGCCCAAAATATATACATATATTTTTAAATTTCTTATTCATTCAGGAAGACAAGAAGACACCTGTGGGCCATCTGAGAGCTGAAACACGGTTAGAGATACAGTGAATGCAAGTACCTAAGCTACTGTGTTTAAACACAAAGGCCCACGTTACTCCCCAAACGCCAGAGACTCGATACACTGGTCTTCTGCTGCTGGCGTGAGAACCGCAACGGCGGGCCGGCCGGGTCCCGGCCTCAGCCGCAGAGGAGGCCCCGCGGGTGCTGGGGAGCCCGGAGGAAGGCCGGAGGAAGGCCGGAGAGGCCGTCAGACAGATTTTATGCTCTACTCTTCTGCTCTCCCGATTCTTCCGAACAGCCTCCCTTCGAAATGGCCACTTGACCTCTCCTGCAGGAGCCATTAACCTCCCACAGTCCACCGCGTAAACAGCTTAATTTTCTGACGGCGGCATGACAGACGCAATGACAAAGGCAATTCCCGCTCTCGGTCCAAACAGACGCCCGATGTAAATCACTCCGTTTCCAGAGCAGGGCATTCTGCCCCGGGGCGCCCACCGTCCCGCCTCCTTCGGGGCGCGGCCCCGCACCATCCGTGACCCCCACTCGGGCGGGCGTGGCAGCGGCGTCCACGGGGCCTCGGGCCGTCCTGAGACCCTGGGCTGGAAAGCCGTCCTTCCTTTCTCGCTTCTGAGCATCCGACCCGAAGTCAAGTCAGAACCCGTCAAGCTAGCGACCCCGCTCGCTGGCTGCTCATCCGAGAAACAAACAAGCCCGCCACTGAATCGGTTTCGGAAGAGTTACATTTTTTTCTTTTTCAACAACGTATCTATTTGGACTACTACCCATGATCTGGAATAGCTTTCCGTGGTTAGAGACAATTTTATCAAGACCGAGGTGTTCACGTGCACGAGGTATAGCAGAGCTTCTTCGAGATGCTGCTTTCCGGGGACGGCTCGGCCACTGAGGGGTCCCCGAGGACCCAGCCCGGAGCGTCGGCCAGGAAGGCAGCCGGGCTCCCGGCTCTGCAGGGACCCGCACTGCAGGGCGCTGTCAGGTCACCGAAGGACAGCGACAGTGCGTCATGAGTGTCACCCTGCCTGGGCCAAGTGGCCCAGGTATTTGTTTGGTCAAACGTCAGTCTGGATGTGTCCGAGAATGTGTTTCTTGGATGAGATTAACATTTAAATCCGCGGACGGTGAGTAAAGCAGATGGATGGCTGCCCACCAACCACATCGTGGCCGCCTCCGGCCGGTGAGAGCCCTGGGCGGGGCAAAGTCTGACCTCCTTGAGCGAGAGGGAGTCTGCCTTTGGGGTCACGGAGCAACTCAGCCCCGAGTTTCCAGCCCGCTGGCTTGGCCCCACAATCAGTGTCTGTCTGTCTGTCTCTCCCCACCTCTCTCTTCCTCTCTCTCTCTCCCCACCCCGCCTCTCTCTCTCTCTCTCTCTCTCTCTCTCTCTCTCTCTCTCTCTCTCTATATATATATATATATATATATATATATATGCACATCCTGTTGGTTCAGTTTTCCTGGAGAAAACCTCACTAAACAGGACACATTTCATTTGCATGATAAATACACTAGAATATTGTAGTTCCAAATAGATCCTCTCTTTTCTTTCTTGTAATTTCTTTTGTTTGCCTTTTCTGACAGCGACATGGCCACAAGGAAATACTTCTCTACTGTGTGTACAAACAGCGGAAGACAAAGCCCGCTGACTCTGGGGCCCGGAGAGGGAGGCGGTGGTGGGGAGCCGTGGGGGCTGGTGGGTGGGAACCCACGCGGCAGGGGCTCCAGCGAGGCCGCTGTGTGCGTGCCAATGTGGAGCCCAGGGCCAACCAGTCTGATTTTTCAAAAGAACCCAGAAATGGCCGTGGCTGGTGTAGCTCAGTGGATTGAGCGTGGGTTGCGAACCAAAGTGTCGCAGGTTCGATTCCCAGTCAGGGCACATGCCTGGGTTGCAGGCCATGACCCCCAGCAACCACACATTGATGTTTCTCTCTCTCTCTCTCTCCCTCCCTTCCCTTTCTAAAACAAATAAATAAAATCTTTTAAAAAATAAAAAAAACCCAGAAATGAAGATATTCCATGTAAAATCTCCCAATTTGCAAACATGGGCTCCAAAAACTTTAAGAGCTTGCGTGGGGCCACACATCTGCTCCACGGTGTCTCCTCGAGGTGACGTCACAGGCTCTGGCTGGCCTGCTGGCCTGGCCGGCACTTCCTTCGCCTGCGTACGCCTCCACTGCCCACCTGTCCATGAAACCGCCTGCAGGCCAGGGGGCGTGGCGGGACTGAAACGATGCGGAGCACAGAAAACGCTCCCCCAAAGGCAGTGGCCAGATCAAGAGTCCCTCCCTGAGCATTTGAAGAGCTGGCCCTGTGGGGCTTCCCCGCCGCGGGCCCAGGTCCCGTCAGGCATGAGAAGCTGGGGCGGGGTCCAGGGGTCCTTGCAGCTAGGAGAGCCTCCTGGGACCCGAAGTCCCTGGCACCGCTTCTGCGGATGGCAGAATAAGCCTGCTCAGCTCCCTGGAAAGCAATTGGGCACCAAGAAGCTCAAGAACGGCTCAGTGGAATGAGCACAGGCTGCGAACCAAAGCGTCGCAGGTTCGATCCCCAGTCAGGGCACATGCCTGGGTTGCAGGCCACGGCCCCCAGCAACCGCACATTGATGTTTCTCTCTCTCTCTTTCTCCTTCCCTTCCCTCTCTAAAAATAAATAAATAAAATCTTTTTAAAAAGTGGAAATAATTAAAAAAAAAAAGAAGGTCAAGAACGCACCTCATCCAAAACCCCAGGACGCTCACCACGGCCTGACCTTGGCAGCAAACCAGCAGCAACGTAAACGTCCCTCCCTCGGCGTGTGAGGGCCGAGGGCCCCGCAGGGTCCCCCACGCGGGACAACCAGGCCACGGGGCCATCTGGTCAGTGAACGGAAAGCTGTTCACGACACCAAGTGTGTGCCCGGGAGAGGACAGGGGGCCGCACTGGGCAAGGCCTGATGCCGAGGGGGGCACGTGCCCTGGGGACGGCTCGTGCCCAGGGGACCCCCGGGAGGCACACGCGCCCGGGTATGGACGGCTGTTCTCCCCGTGCGCGGGGATGGTGCCTTTTCCTCTCTTTGTGCATCTGCCCACTCCAATTTTTCTTCCACGACCACGTGCCATCTCAGTGGTGAAGGGTGTCAGAAAATAAATAAATAACCGACACGCTCTTGTAAAGAAGGAAATGCTAAACGTTCAGGCAAAAACAGTGGTCACGGACCAGATCCCCGTGTGATGCAGACCACGCTCTACACCCAGGGCCAAGGGGCCGGACCAGACCGGCCCCGGGCCCCCTTCCCCCCGGAGCCCACTTCTCACTGCCTTTCTGCCCCCTCGGCACCACCTCTCAACGCCGGCCACTGTGTCCTGCGCAAGGGCGCCTTCCCACCCTGGGCTCTCAACTCCCGAGGGTCACGCTGGCCCTCTGAGATATCCAAGGGCAACGGCCATCTGCAAGGACCCTCCCCGCCCCTCCCCGTGCCCCTGCCCCTGCCCCTGCCCCGCCTCTCCCAGCCCACGGCCCACAGGGAGGCTTGACCCGCCAGTGCCTGCAGATGTGGGTCTCCTCGAAAACAGAAGAAAGGAAGGAAGAATTGAAGAGAAAAAACAAGATAAGGGAGGGAAAAGGGAGTCGCCCCGCGCCCACCCCTCGCCCACGCTCCCACACCCTTCTCTCCTGGCCTCAGGGAGTCCCAGACCCGCACACACATCCCCCCCCCCCGTCCCGGGGCCGACTCACCCCATCCCCAGCGATATGAGCACGGGGTTTTCCAGCCCCATGAGCACCTGGAAGGCCTTATTCATGTTCTGGTAGGAAAAACTCTCTCCTGCATCTGCAATGACCACACAGTTGGGGTTGGACATGTCGATGTCATTGAATTCTGAGCGGACGTCTGGGGAGAGAGAGAGAGAGAGAGGGATAAAGCCCAGGGCGTCGGGGTTGCCGCCCTCCCTGGCCTGGACACCTCCCATCTGCCACACCTGCCTCTCCCCGCCCCCCCCATGCACTCTCTCTTTCCACTCCCCACCCTGGGCGGTGGAAAGGAAGGGGGGTTGCTCCCATGTCATAGGTGAGGGAATTCCAACGGCCCGCGGTGACAGAGTTTGTCAGGCGAAAGATGGGCATGCTCGGGGGACCCCCACTCCAACATGGGCACTGCCCGGGAGCCCCCTTAGTTCTCTCCCACGGGCCACTAGTGGAACCCACAGCTCTGCCACTAAGAAGGGGGGTCTGCCTGGAGGACAAGTGGATGAAATGAGGCCGCTTGCAGCCTCCACGGAGTCGCCACTGCCGGCCCCAAACTACACGGCCATCAGCGCATGTCGGCCAGACCCCACTGGGGCGGGGGGAGCGAGGTGGGGGGGGTAGGGGGGACCAGGAACGTCCTGAGGAGGAGGAGGAGGAGGAGGAGGAGCAGGGCCGCACCCAGCCCCCTCCCTTCAGAAAGCCTCTTCCTCCTCCTCCTCCCCCACCCTCCCCCACTGTAAATTCCAACAGGAGAGCTGCAGGGTGAACCCGGTCCCCAGCCCTGGGTTCAGCTCCTAGGAAGAAACAGACCCTGGTCTTTCTGGGTTAAAAAACAAACAAACAGAATTCGCCACAAGGACACACCACACCACACCACGCCCACCAGCCAGAGAACTAAAAAGACGGGCGCCACCCAGTGCTGGAGGGGGCCGCGCAGCCGCCACCCGGCAGGACTGTGAAGCGACAGGGCCCCAGAGAAGGGCTGGCGGCCGGTGAAACGGAGCAGGCGCCCCACAGTCACGCCCCCAGGTGTCCGCTCGGAGAACTGTTCCGGACGGTCCGGTTACTTCGGCCTCACGCTGGAAGCAGCCCGGGGGCCGCCCACCGCGGACGGCGGCATGCTTGCTCGCTGAACGCCGCCCTGCGTAGGAAGGAAAGGCCCTGCCGGTACAGCCTGCTGGGGGAAAGGGGCCCCACGTATGAATGGCCACTGTGGGAGGCGGGGGGAGCTCAGCGGGCTGGGCTGCTGGAGCCTACCTGCACCCCCACCCCCAGCCAGGTCTGGCTTCCCACCAGCTGCGGGGGACCCGCTGAGCCCCAGAACATCCTGCCTGCAGAGAGGGGTGTTGTGGGCCCGGGGCCCTGGGCCAACGCCCGGGGACGCTGAGACTGAGCAGGGAAGGTCAGTCACAGGGGCACTGCATGCTAACTGACTGACCTTTAATCACAGCCCAGGAGGCCCCCGGAGCTCCCCCGGGTGACGCCACTGTGCGTGGCCAGTCACGCATCGCTGCGGGGAGAGTTAAGCAAGCCCCGGGCAGCTCTACTGGGTGGGGGGAGGGTGCCTGGAAGGTCGCGCCTGGATTCTCCTGGAGCTTGTCCCAGGCCCCTTCCGGTGGCCGAATGACCATCTGCATTCTTCCCCTGTGGCGACAGCAGCGGGCAGCCGTAGGGACAGCTTGCCCGAGGCCTCCGACCCCTCCGGCAAGTGCTCAGCCTGCAGTGGTCTGGGGGCCCCGACACTACTAGAGGCTGTGTGATTCTATCACCATGACACTCCTGAGGAGGCAAACTTGTTTATAATTTAAAAAAAAGTGCAAACGGTAGGCGCCTCTGAGGGGAGGCGGGACCGACTGGGAGGGGCTCGAAGGAAGTTTCGGGGTGAGGGGGAAGTTCCACATCTTGATGGGGGTTGGGGGTCACACAGATGGGCACATGAGTCAAAACCCTGCAAAAGTGCACTGGGGATGTTCCCGTTGCATGACGGTATATCGATTTTAGATTAAACAACAACAACAACAACAATGATAAACAGCCCCAGCCAGTGTGGTTCGGCTGGCCAGGCATTGTCCAGCAAAGCGAAAGGTCGCCGGTTCGGTTCCCGGTCAGGGCACGTGCCTGGGTTGTGGGTTCAAGCCCAGTCGGGAGGTTTGCATGAGAGGCAAACCGATCAGCGTTTCTCTCTCACACTCCACTTTCTCTCTCTCTAAAAATAAAGAAATAAAATCTCTCTCTCTTCCTCCTGTCCCCTTTCTCTATAGATAAATAAATAAAGTCTTAAAAACAAACTGTAAACAGATACTGACGTCCAGTCAACAGTGTGCTGCAGTGTTTGGGAAAGCGACCCGTGTCTGTGGTTTACTGGGCAATGCACCGAAGGCTGAGCTGGGCGGGTGCACGGAGGGACGGACGGCTGGGTGTGTAACGGAGAAAACAGGAGAGCCTCACTGGTGAAATCAAGGCCACGGGCATACAAATATTCCCAGTAACATTCTTTCAGCTTCGCCATGTGCTGAAAACTTGTCATAGTAAATGCTGAGGAGGAGGGGAAATCCATCAGCAGTCAAACCTGGGGGAAAATTCACGTCTGAAAACACTTCGGGTACATTTCTGGAGACCACGGATGCAGGAGGACAGCTGAGGGGGGCACCGGGCACCCCCCACAGCCTCCCCCAACTCTGTCTGCTTGTCTGACGTGAATCTGCCCCTCTAGGTCCACGCTGAATTCTCGCCTGCCCTCCGGCGGCTCGGTCCCCAGCCGCCTTTGCCCGGAGGAGGGCGTGTCTTCCCCTAGATGTTTCTCTGTGTCTGAGGACTGTTCAGAAGACACTGGCAGGGGTCCTGGATTGCAGAGGAAGGACTCGGAGGAACCTGGTCTCTAAAGGCTGGGCAGCCACCCTCGGTGGACACCGGAGCCACGGAGTGGACGCCGGGGCCTCGCAGGGAGCACCGGCCGGTCGGGGGCCCCCACTCCAGCTGGGACGCAGAAAAGCACGCCGGCCTCAGTGAGCAGTCTGCAGACGAGAAGGCCAACAGTGGAGGAAGAAGGAGAGAGAGGCAAGGACGGGGAAGTGTCCTGGGTGCTGAAGCACTGCTTAGGGCTCCGCTTCCTAAACATCCCGAGGCAGCAGGCAACACTGCCCCTTCCCTCCGGCCCAGAGAACCCCCCACCGAGGGCCAGGGCGGCTCTTCCCTCGCCCTGGGACTGCTCAGGGTGCACACGCTGTGCTGTCCACCACGGGCAGGGCTGGCTCCCCAAACACGGTCCGGGCTGCGGGTGCGGGAGGTCAGAGCCGTCCAGTCCTCAGCCTCCCTCCCTCCTTGCACACCGCCCCCTCCCACCCCGCGCACACACCCCAGGAGCTAGGATTTTACCCCCCACGGTGCCCTGCCCCCTCGGTCTATTCTGGATCAGACAAGGACAACGCAGGCTCTGCCCCGAGGAGCCATCTGGGACCGGCGGCCCCTCTGGCGTGAGGCCAGGGATGACGCGGCCCCGGGAGATTCCAGCCCACGGGCCGTGAGTGCTGGCGGCAGGGGCCAGGGGTTACACCGCGTCCTTCCTCGTGGTTTGGCCCAGGTGAGAGGGGTGCTGTCCCCCAGCCCCCACCCTGAAAGGGGCACCTTCACCCCACCGGGTCCCCGGGGCCGGGCGGGCCTACCGTCGTGGACAAGCAGGTGTGGCCGGAGGCCTCGCTCCTTCAGGATGCGACAGGCGGCTGGGGGCGGGGCGGTCACCTCGCTCTCGGAGACGTCGAAGCCCAGGTGGCGAAGCTCTGCCACCAGGTGTCGGCGGGACTTCTGAGACTCGTTGGTGCAGAACCTCACCTTCAGCCCCGACCGCTTCAGTCTGGAGGTGCGAGCAGGTGGAGGCCGCCGTCACCAGGCAGGGTGTGCAGCCTCGGGGGGAGGGGGCTACACAGATGCTTCTCCACGGGCGCCTGGTACGATCCCGGGGCCAAGTCCCTGAGGTCCCCGAGGTCCCCGAGGTGGGCCTGGACAGACCCCACAGTATTTGGGTTGGTGTTTCTGAGTGGAAGCAGACCTTTCCAGGGGACCTGACCAGTCCCTCGACTGCCCTCCTCCTCATCGCCCCTGCGCTTGGCGCACCTGAGACTCCCCAAGGTTCCACCTGACCTTTGCCCACGCCTCCCTTCCCACCTGGGACGCGTCCCCAGTCCCGCTGCCTGGGACCTTCCGCCTCTCCACACCTTCTCCCGGCTTCGGAGACCCACGGGACACCTGCCTCCACACACGTCCCACCTGGCCTGGCTGGGGGTCAACCTCTGAACCTTGCAGCACTCTCTCTGGACCTTTCCACGGTAACTAGCACCCGCACGCTGCGTCTGAACCACGCACACCTAATTAACGCTGGGTGTGTGTTTCCCCAAAAAGGCAAAGGCCGAGGGAGCACACAGAGGTGTGTGCCTTATCGGGGTCCCCTGTGTGCTCTGTGAGGTGGGGAAGGGTCTGCTCAGCTGACCTCAGCCCCCCACGCGCCGTGCAGGGCACGGCACACAGCAGGCCCCTGGCAGGTGCTGGCTGAATGGCTGATGGGTGCAGAGTCCAAATGACGGCCGGGGAGGGGGACCCGTCCTCTGGACCACACCGACTGCTCGCCCGGGGGTGTCTCGGGCCTGCGGCCCCCCCACGGGCCCTGACGGGAGCGGACAGCACCCGATGTGGAAACGCACACCGCCACGCTCCCACGGGCCTGCAGGCCCCCGGGCACCGGAGCCGACAGGGGTGATCGGGAAGGAGTCTGAGGGGCTGCCGGCGACAGGGTAGACGCAGACCCGGAGGCTGACAGCGTCTTCACCAACAGCCCAGGCGACGCGGTCCTCCCTTTCTTAGTATTTGTCTTTCCTAATCAGAGGGTTATGAATTATCAATTATGCTGAGTGGTTAATTGCCCTTCATAAAGACAGCTTTTGTATTTTTAATGAGGCAGTTAATTATTGTAACTAATAGCATCACCTTGTACGTTATGGAACAAACCTTCATTGATTGGCGCCCAGAACGTGCGATTCACACCCAAGTTAATGGAGCTGCTGAGCGAGGAGGTGCCGGGGGTGCCGGGGGACTAATTAATGCTAATGAGTCACGATGTGACCTTCTCAGAACAGCGAGCAGCCCGTGGGACCGCGAGAGGACCGTGCCTCCCATCTGCTGCTCCAACCGCAACTTCCGGAGCCCGTGAAACACCAGAACCCACTTCGGGGCGCCTCCGCCTCGGGTCTCCTTCACCTCGGGTCTCCTTGGAAAAGCAACCGAGGTTCGGGCCCCCCCCCCCGCCCCCCGCCCACAACATCCCGAGTCCCCGGAACAGGGGAGGGTTCATCAGTCCCCGAAAAGCCTGCTGGGAAAAGCTGGGGGGAAGTGCTTGCCCTGGGGGCCTGTCCGTTGGGGCCCCAACCGCCCACCCCCTTTTGAAGCGTCACCACTCGGGACCAGCCCCAGGTCCTCTCTTCGTTTTTCTTAGTCACTGAGAATAATAATATCAGGGGTCATTACTATTGTTAACATGGTGACGCGTGAGTATGTTACCCTGAGTCTCGATTTTGTCCCCTCCCTGAGGGCAGAGTTGGTGGTCCCTACATCCACGCCCAGGGCCAGGTGCCCGGTGGGCGAATGACTCTCACTGAGCCCGTGCGGACGGAGTAAACCCCATCCCAGGGACGAGAACACAGAGGCTCCAGACACCCACAAGGTCACACGGCTCGCAGGTGGCGTGCGACAGCCCTGGCGCATTCCTGGTACGGAAGCACCGTGCCCAGCAAGGCCCAGCAGCCCAGGAACAGCTCTTCCTGCCGGCAGGGAAACTGACACTCTCCAGGTGAGCAGGGGTGTGCACGGGGCACACCTGGGCGTGCACCGGGGACAGAAAGCGTGAGACGTTGGGTCAGCACTGAAGGTGAGCCCCTGAGTGGCTAACGCTGTGGCCTGAACTGTGTCCAATGAGGTCAAGGGTGGGGACGTGCTAGGACAGGATTGGCGTCCTTCTAAGAAAAGACACCAGCGATCTCTCTCTCTCTCTGCACAAAGGGGCGGCCAGGTGAGGCCACGGCGAGAAGGTGGATGCCCACCATGCAGGAAGAGAACTCCCACCAGAGCCGGCCCGGCTGGCACCTGGGTCTTTGGACGTGTAGCTTTCGGAACTCCGGGAACATGCAATTGTGGTTGAAGCCCCCAGGGCGAGTTGTTGCTGTGGCCGCCCAAACCCACTCAGACAGCCAAGGAGCCACACCCTGGCAGCTCTTAGGGGGTCACAGATGGGGCCTCAGGAGGCCAGGAACAGGAGCATTCAGAGGGTCGGGAGAGCCCAGGCCAGGCTTGGCCTCAGGGCCGCCACGCAGCCTGCAGGGCACCCCCCGCCCGGGGAGTGAATCCAGGGGTTTCAGCTCCGGGGACAGGCCCAGCTCCAGCTCCAGGACGGGCCACCGTATCGCCCCAACACCTAAAACCTGGGGACAGCGGGCCTACTGCAGGGCTCCCCCAGCCCAGAGTGGGGCTCTGGCCAGACAGCCCCCGAGACCACAGCCGCGGCCTCAGCCGGCTGCCCCCTCCCCAGGAGCCCCGTGGGGGTCCTCTGGCTTCCAGCGGCCACACCAGATCTTCGGACTGACCTCTACCTCACCCTGGCCCGGGCAGGACAACCTCTGAGTGACAGCGCCGTCGCCGGGGGCAATTACCGTGCGTCGCAGGAACTGGTCCCTTGCAAATCACCTCGGACCTCACACATCTGCTGGCTGTCGCATCTGCCAGGGGCGCTCACCCGAAAATAATGGAAGCCCTCTCATTACTTGCCGCAGCAGGTGGGGCGCCGGCCGGCGCCCGGACACCCGGATTGACCTTGGCTCGGCTCCACGGCCTGCCGCCCTTCGGCTCGCCACAGGGGGGCCCGCGGGGGCGGGGGGAGGGAGCCAGGCGGGGGTGAGGGAGAGGGCTGCCCAATGGGACTCGGTCCCCACCCCTGGCTCTCAGAACCATCACCTTCGGCTGACCTCCGGGCCCCTCTCGGCGCCCTGCGTCTGCCCGCACCGCCCAGTCCTCCTCACCTTTCAAGGCCTGGCTCCCACGTCCCTTCCTCCAGGAAGGCCCCAGGCGCCCACCCTGCCCAGGCTGAGCCCGTCTCCCCGTGCACGGCTCTCGCAGCCCTGGAGGCTGTTCCTGGCATCGGCACCTTCGCCCCCCGCCCCGTTTCTCCACCCTGCTCGCTGCCCGCCCCTCCTGCCAAACCGCTCACGGTGGGACGCCCACCCCACCTCACCCACCCTGCCCCAGCCACCCCGCTACCCAGCAGGCTGTGCGGAGGGTCTGGGAGACCAGGCCAAGCATGACAGCCATTCCCCGACCTCCCACCCAGGAGAAGAGACCCCCACAGACAGTGGCGGGGAGGCCTCGGCTAAGTGGGCTCCTGGGTGGGAAGGTGAGGCCACAGCCGCAGGTCACACTTGGGGTGGCAAATGACATGAGTGCCCACTTGCCTCCTTTGACCCCTGGGCCGGTCTTCAAAGAGCCGCGTGAGGCCTTCGGGCCCGCCTGAGCTGGAGTTCTGTCCTCCCCCAGGGCCGGGGCTGCTTCTACTCCCTCCCGGGTGAGGGGGCAGGAGAAACTCACCCCAGGAGGAAGGGGGGGCAGGGGGGCATTTCCCCTCATTCCTGCCTCCTTGACCCACCAGCCTGCTCGACCCCTGGGGCCACAACTCACGACGTGACCTGGTGGGGTGGGGGGTCCTTATTACTACCAGAATGGGAACCACTGCTGGTAAGTAAAACTCTGTGCCTCGGTTTCCTGGGAGAGGGACGGGGCATGCACAGCACCTCCTGGGGCCGCTCTGAGTGGCCGCAGCGCCCGACCTGGGCCCTCAGGGATGGCCAGCCCCCGTCCCCCGGCGGCATCGAGGCCTGTGGCGAGGCAGGGCTCTGCCAACCCTCTGGGACCCTGGGGTCTTCGGCGCGTCCCTTCGGCAAGCCCCCGGAATGGAAAACGCACGTTTGGAGAAACAGAACCTGCAAAGCGCTGCTTTGTTCTAGGAAGTCGCATTTTTGAACAGAAGGTCGGACGGAAGGAAGCCCCGGGTCAGAGCAGCGCGGGTTCTGCAGGAGAAAAGTACAGGCACCCGTGCACCCTGAGGGGTTCTGGGAGGGTCCGGACCCAGCCCCCCGAGTGCCCCAGGAGGTGTCTGCTTAGGGCCAGGGAGCCACGGGCTTCTCCCCCCACCCCGGGAAGGGGGTCTGCCCCCACCCCACGCACACGCCCTTGGCTGAGCAACTATGGGCCAGACTCGGGGTCCTTGAGCCCCAGCCATGACATGGGCTAATGGCAGCACCTGGCCTTCCGGCCAGCTCTCCAGGGTGGGCACCGGAGACACGCCGAGAGCCCTCCCAGGTGCTGGCGTCACCACGGGACCGAGAACGCCGACGGGCACCTGTGACGGCCTCTGCTGGGGGCTCCAGCCACACCTCCCCCTTCTCCCTGCTGACCCACGGGGCAGACCTCCCCATGGGCCTGACGGCCCTGCTCCGCCCACCCAGGAGGGGCCCCCGCCCCCACTCGCTGGCTGACACTGCCGGACATTGTCGTCAGAGTCCAGGCAAGAGACGGGGGCCAAAGTCTGGACAGAGAGAGAACACAGGAGGTGGTGATGTAGATGGCTGGACCTTGGATGGGCCTGAGCCCTGGCCAGCCAGCCAGTGACCTCATATGGGGACAGTGCTGAGGGCAAACAGACGTGGGGCAGCCCCAGAGCCAGGGCCCTCGGGAGACACACGGCACACCTTCCCCGTGCCCGTGACCGCCTCCCCTGGCGGCAGCGTCCTCTCTCCGACCTGCCCAGGCCTCTCAGCG